AAAGAGTGTGTTTTCTACTCTGGGGAGTGATGGGATGGGATCTGGTCTTCAGGTGCTGGAAGCAAGATAAAGGAGATACAGTGGCTTCAGTTTAAGGTGTGATTACCCCCACCAGAAGTTACTGCTTGCAGAATTGGGAAGCACAAAAGGGGATAAATATCCTCCCCTGGGGGCTCCAGGTTATTACCTGGAGCTGGTGCAGGTCCAAGCTAGCCTTGCCCCTGCAGTGCCACTGCAGTAGAGGAGAGCTGTCATGGCACTGCCAAAGCTGCTCGCTCCATTGAAGATCAGCCAGGCCATCTGCTTTCCCCTAAGCACCAGGAGAGAGCCAGGCTGACATGTGAGAGCTCTTCATGGGGGATGTGGTGCTCAGCTTGAGCCCCTGGCAGCCCACCTGATTCTCCTGCAGTTGGCTTTGTAGCAGTTGGATGGAGTCAAGAAGGGAGGAAACCTCCTGCAATTCCCGTAAGGACAAGGCACTGTGCTGTGGACACATGCCCAGGGGGAGAGCAGAGGCTACGGTCACACTTTTCTCCAGCACTTGACCTCAGGTGAACTCATGGAGCAGGATGGTGGTGTTAAAACACCGGCACCACAGAACGAGGGGGAGCCCCTGGTGCACAGGATTGTTCCATGTTAGCTACAGGCTGAGGATCTTAAACGCAAGGTACTGGGCAAAAGCCAAAGTCATCTTGGGAAGCATGCCTAGGAGAGCAAGTCCTCTCTAACCCAGCCACTGGTGGAAGGGAAAATCAACACGTTGTGATCAACTGCTCCTCAGCAAAGCCCCGAGAGTCACTGCAGGGCTCTCCTCACCAGCAAGTCTTTTGCTCCCTCCTGAAAAGAAACACAGCTCCCACAGCTCTATTTGTAAACCCACTGTGAAGCTCGTGCTTCATTTGCTTTTGCTGGGACTCCAATTGTTTATAATGTCTAAATCTATTTATGTTCACTTCTTCTCTCTCCCCAGAAAATGCAGAGCGTGACAAAGTCATTAGTAAGTACCACCAGAATTACTGCTTCCACTTGTTGCTCTTGGTGAAGTAATACTTGTAAACAAGTAACTTGTTTTGTTCCTAGGTGATTCTAGGTGGTATCCAGAGTGGGACAGGCCTGCGTGTGACGAGTACTGCATCACCATTATTGCTTTAAGGCCGTTACTCCTTATACTGACAGTTCTGGCCACCTGGCTCTTACCAAAATACTATTCTCTAGCACTGGCCAGTGAGTGACACACATGCAGAAGACCACAAGAGCACTTAGGTCAACTCATCCCCTCCCTGCACTGAAGTTACTGGCAGCACAAAGATCTGTAGAGATATTGTTTGCATCTGTGGCAGAGCAGCGTGAGCTGGATCTGGTGGGTTTGTGCTGCCCCAGCAGCTGCCACCACACCTTCTCAGGAGGGTCTGGAGGGTGCCCAGCCCAGGAGCCTGGCCCAGGCCCTGGGCAAGGCACGCATCTCTTACTCCCATTGCACTTTTTCCTTGAACACTCCTCCAGCAAGATACAGAGTAGCCTGGAGAGGTTTTTTCATTTCAACATCTTTTTAAAAGAATTTTTTGACCCCCGCGAGCCCTGGCGTCTTCATCCTGGGGCAGGCAGTGTGTGTCCCAGTCATAGCATTGTACAGGGGCCACTTGTACTTCTCTTTGTTTAGAATTTGGCTTTAAACTCATATGTCGTCTGTGCCAAGACACAGTTTCACCTGTGTGTATACACGATTATGTATCACTGTGATCTTTCCTGGGTTTTGTTTGTTCTTGTTTGCTGACTGCTGTTTCAAACAATAAATCATTATTTCCTGCTTCCCATGTACAGCAATTACCTATTGGCTAAAACTGAACTGCTGGTGCACAAAAACCCATATCCAGCTCCAACCAGCACAGTGCTGAGAAACAGTGCTGGGAAAGGTGGTATAAAAACTTCAAATAAAATATGCCTGTAGGTTCAACATCTGCCAAGGGATGAGTCTCCTGGAACTCCCCTCCTCCAGCTGGAGGGGAGGCTGGAGGGCGCGCAGCTGCACCAGCTCCCCGGGGGGCCGAAGCGGTGGGTGTCTGTGCAGAGGTGGGCTCAGCTGCCTCTGCACCCTGCCCCTCAGCAGGGCACCCACAGCTGCTGCAGAGGAAGCCGGGAGGTTCCCCTGGCCACCTCCTTTCTGGGGTACTGCCCCTGCAGGACCTGGCAGTGCTTCTGCACACCCACTCCCGACCCCACTACTGGGGTGGGTCTCAGCTGGAAACACTGGAATTGGGACCCAAGTTTCTCACACTCTTCTTCCTGGTAGTTAACAGGCCTCACTAGAATCATCTCAGCATCAGCATAAATAATTTTTTTTTTTTTTTTTTTTGAAATGTAAATACATCTAAGGACAAAATTTTGCCCTTGATAGATCTTTACATTTACTTTGTTGGGCACTGGAGCCTCTGTAGCCACGACATCACACACGCAGACGGGAGATGAGCAGTATCTCTTCCATGCACCAGTAACCAGGGTCCCAGTACCCACACTGGCCTACTTGTGAGTGAGCCAAGCTGAGTTCTGTCTTCCAAACTGGACAGATTAGGGTGTTTAAAAAAAAAAAAAACAAACCAACAAAACCTCATTACAGAAGCAAGGCCATGGGTCTATCCAAAGAAAAGCAGCTATTTTCCTCCCCACGTGTCTTTTTGCCACTTTTTCATGCAAGACCCAAGCCTCAAACTCCATGTAGTGCCAAGTGCCACCTGAAAAGGGGACAGCAGACAGCACATGGGCATCAGGACTCAGCCTCTGTCCCCTCTGTTGTGTGGGGCTCCCACCCCAGCACTGAGCCTGGCACAGTGCCTGCCCCACTGAGACCATGTGTGGTTACATCTCCTACTGCAAAGAGAAATGCAGGAGAGGGAAGAGCAGTCGCTGCTGTGTCCCAGGAGCAGAAATGAGCTCGGCAGGAATCCTCCCCTGCTTAGTTTAAACTACGCTTGGTCTCCAGGAGAGTAAACAGAAACAACACAAAGCCCTTAAAGTTCAAAACATTCACAGAGCTGTCATTTAACTATATCCTTCAACAGCTCTAAGGAAATACAATAGAAAAATCTTCATTAAAAAACCTATAAATCCCTGGGTCTTAGAAGAAAAAAACAAAACAAAACAAAACAAAACTTTACAACATGGTGTCTTTCAAACGAAAAAGCCTTAAAGTCAGGAATTCAAAGCATCTCATTTTAAGGACATCCAAATATGCAGGTATTTTACTCCAAATGATCAAACCACTTTGAGTCGTCCACATTTACCTTGACATATGTTCATGAATGCTGTATCATAAATGCAAACTGCTAATATAAAAATATAACCTTCAGTTATTTTTTTTTGCAAATCTGTAAACTCTAAAGTCAGGTTAAGGAGATAATTTACAAGAGTTCAAGCTGTTCTGAAAATATGAAAAAAACCTTTTTCACCCTTCCAAATCTATTTTATTTCCTACTCTTTACAATTGTTAGACCTGTATAGCCGTATTCCCTCAGAAAGAAAGGCGCAAAAAGCACCAACAGTGAGCCCATGCAGACAGTCACTGTTCAGATACAGGCTCTTCAGCAGACCAGTCCTTTGGTTTAACTTACCTACAGGAGTATGAGTAAGCCGTCTTGATTTTCCAGGTTAATTAAATAAATGTCCAACCAACAATCCTCGAAACCTGTCAACTGTAACAACTGAAAGAGATTCAAGACAATGCAAAGCCTTTTCACCCCGTAACATCAGAGCAACAGGTCTTCCTGAAGCCTGTTAGGGGTTTACTACAGATAGGGATTTGATGCTAAAGCTACGTAGGTGCCCCAGCTATGGGTCCTAAATTAAAAAAGCACACTTCCAAGGAAGCACGTGTAATTTAAGGCCAGGCAGCCACCAGGCTGAAGTACCTTCTCCTGTACAGGTAACCAGGCAGTTGATGCAGCTCAAAACCACTTTTTTGTAGGGTGCTTTCAGCTAGATCAGGTTCCTGAAATTAAATGCCATCTGCAAGCTTGTTTTTAACTTGTTTTTAACTTTTAAACAATAAACAGGGGAACACCTGTGCCAGTCCTCTGCACTGACAGGGGCCTCATCCAGTCCAGATTAGAACCAAGGACTCTTCCTCCCCAAGTACAGACTCCGCCTTCTC